CAGTATTCATATTCTCTTGTCTCTCCAACACTCCACCAGAGACCACATACTCCTCAGGCTCTGATGCTCCTGAACTCTCTACCAATATGTGCACAGTGACAGAGAACTTATTTTAATAAACCTCTGAGGATAAGAGATTAAAACTAGTATACAGAACTGAATCACACATCATCTGTTTTTATTTGTCCATATTATTGCCTCCTTTGGATAACAGTGACCAGACAATTATTGAAAATTCCATCATAAATGGAAATATGCTCACCTATAGTCAGTTATGCAAATGAAATTAGAAACATAATTACAGGAAGTGCTAAATCCTAACACCCAAGGTTCCTGAAAATGGGCTACTCACCTGGCTGGCCGTAAACTCACATAAAATGTAAACATCATTGGCCACAGTATCTGAAAATAATAAAAAGACAAGTCAGACTGGCCTGCCAACAAAGGAGGCTGAATTTCACCTGCTTCTTCTTAGAGCTACTTGATGTCACAAGTAGCAGAATATCCTTCCTTATAAATGACTGAAAATTATTCGATTGCATCTTTCTACATCGACTTCTTTGTTCCTTCACCTGCCGGTGCACACTAACATGTGCTGTTATTTGAAAAATGCTCCAAAAAACAGGAGATTGGAGATTTCTATGGTGTGTTGTTTGCATTGGATACACAAAGACTATTTCAGCATTTCAGGAAAGCTCTGCACTGTTTTCCACAATGGCTGTGCCAATTTACCACCTACCAGAGCATCTGAATGTAGTTCCATTTACTCCACACACTCTCCCTCCTTTGCTGACTCCTGTCTGTTGATATCAACCATCCTAACGAATGTGATGTGACATGCTCTTGTAATTTTTAAATTTGCATAATTCTGCTGATTTGGGGGGAAAGAAGGTGGAGAGGAAAAACATTGAAAGAAAATGACATAGGGGTGGTTAAAAAAGAAATGTACTCAATAATGACATATGGAGTTAAAAAAGAAATGTACTCCATACTGACTTTTGTAACTGTGACCCGTCCATACATCACCTTTACGATAACATTTTTAAAGAAAGGCAAAGGACAGCTCCCATACCCTGAGTTAAAGTTCTAGTACAAGCCCGTGCACACACACACACGCACACACACACACACTCACACACAGGGCATTCGCCTGAGTTGGAAAACCCTTAGATTTGTGACACATGGATAAAACTGGAACATGTTCTACAAGGAAAATAAGAGAGACATTGAAAAATGTACCTTATGATCTCATTTATAACACAATCTAAAAAATCATTCAACTTACATAAGTTAAGAGGATAGAACAATGGTGGCCTGGGGCAGGGGTTGGGAGACATAGAGAGATGTTAATAAGTGTATATGTTAACTACTTTGATCATGAGAAATCATAATACAATGTATGTGTATAGGTTATTCCCTTTGACTATGTTCAATTTATGTCAATTAAATAATTTAAAATAAAATAACAAGCTTTTAAAGAAAGTCCCATCTTGAAATAAATACCAGTATAGAAAGAATATCCAAGGACAATCTACCATTTCCCTTCTCCCATCGTTATGTACTTGAAATACTCTCAAGACTATGTCCTGTGGGATTCGACTGCCAACCAAGGCAGAGCCACAGGAACTGTTACTGTGACAGGGCAAGAACATGTGCAGAACCATGGCCAGATGCACACCAGGAAGAATGTGCATCCTCACTGGCTCACTCAGATGGGGATGCTTCCGATGCCTTCGTATGCTGCCCATTTGCTCCTAGCTTTCTTGGGGAAGATATTTACGGATCAGTGAAAGGAGTGCCTATGACAGATCCAGGTTGGTGCAGAATTCTAAGTTCATCTACTACTTCTTCAACACCACAATTAGAGAGCAAACTCTTCTATCAAGAACTGACCACTGCACCTGCAGAGATTTCTCCAACAGCTGATTAGCCAGCAGGAAGGAAGGGCCAAAGATGCAGGTTTGAAATAGGCAATGCGCCCATAACAACACTCACCCTTTGACTGCCCATCATCCCAGAAAAGTTCGCCTCTGGCTTCATTGTTCCCATCCAGGGCAATGATAAGACCAAGAGGGTTCTGGCGGCTGCAGGAGACAAGATTCACATGAGAGACACGAAGATGGCAGCAAAAAAAACTGCCTTGCTTTCCTTCAAATTTCATTTGAGAAAAGTTAGCAACAGCAGATGATACTGCTTTACTTTAGGGACAAAGACCAGTGTCTGTTATTGAATAATGTCACAGGACAGAAAACAATCCAATATGTGACAATGAGCATCCACACAGGCAGCAAGAACATGAGCACCAGAATCACGACAGTAAAAATCAATATCAAAATATTAACCCCCTGCAAAAAAAGAATCGCCACAGTAGTTACAGTAAAAGCTATGGCTATAAACATACATATGTTTAAATGTCAAAGGTCATTTAAATATTTATAACTTCACTATCAGATGATACAAAATTATCAATATAGGTAAATGGCCATGAGCCCCTGACAGGAAACATATAAGGGGCATATGTGTCTGTCCCATCATGATCCATATGATTCTGTGGGTCAGAGTTTCCCTACCACTGATTTAGGACATGGACTATGAGAGTATATGAAAATCCTGAGCAATAATGGCGCAGCCAGCTCATTTTAGGGATGACGTCCACAGAAGTAGCAACTGATCCCAGGAACAAATTCACGTAGACTGCAACACAGTTATACAAATCTATATCATAGTAATTTGCTTTATGTGATTGCATATATGGTTTTGATGGGAAGACAGCACATCCTAATAACTGACATTATATTTGGGAGTAGAAAGTACAAGACACGACTCAAACAGGTCATCTCTAAAGGAAGAAGACCCACATTTAAGTCCTTCACATCACATTGGAAACAAAAGTTCATCAGTTATTCCAGATAATAAGGCAAGATGAAGGAAAGTCACACAAAGAAGTCACAACCGATTTGTGTTGCCCAAAGGACCACAGGTGGCATTTGCAAGCCTAGCATGTAACAACTATACCTGAAATATTTAGCAATATTAAGAAGAGAAATTGAAGTATGGAGAAAATGCATGAATATAATTTAAATAACTAGAAGAAAGAAACGGAAGTATTCCTACTACTGGAAGAGTGGAGACTTTTTTGGAGGGAATTGGAGTGTAACTTGGATCACTGAAAATGCACCAGGGTTCACTCCTTTACAAAAAATAAAATCAACAAAAATCAAAATGAATGAAATCCAATTGGATTGAGC